AGGACCCCCAGGTCCTTTTCATTTTCCATACATATTATTTTTCTTCTGTTCCAATAATAGTCCCTTCCAGGATTTTTTGCCCCCATGTGAAGTACGTCACATTTCTCCACAATGAATTTCATCTGCCACTGATCTGCCCAATTCCCAAGTATATTCAAATCCTCGTAACCTATCTTGTTCAGCTTCACAGTCTACCACCTTCATCAGCAAACTTAGCCTCTGTGCTTGACATTCCTAGTTCCAGATCATTTATAAAAACATTAAACAAGAGGTCTCAAAACCGACCCTTATGGAACTCCACTGGTAACATTTTCCCAGTCTGATGATATTCCCTGTACCACCAACCTCTTGGTTCTTCTGGTCAACCAAGCATATCCATTGTAATATACCTCCACTGATTCCCGCTTTCTTTACTTTCAGTGCCAGCCTCTTAAGAGGAACTGTATCAAAGGCCTTACTGAAATCCAGATATACAATATTCTTATCCTTACCCTTATCAAGTTCCCTTGTCAAAGAAAACCAGTAAATTAGATTGGCATGACCTTCCTTTCATAAACCCATATTGGCTATCATTTATGATTTTATTGCTGTCCAGATGCTCCATGATTTTATCCTTAATAAGTCTCCATAATTTTACCCACAATGGATGTCAACCTTATTGGTCTGTAGTTTCCTGGATCACTTTTGAACCTGTCACCCGCTCCTCTGTCATCACCACCATATCCTCCATGAAGTTCACCACCTGCTTCCTAGACCCCATCCCCACCCTTCTCTTAAATCCCAGCTCCACCTTCTTGCCCCACTGCTCACCGACATCATTAACCTCTCACTGTCATCTGGCACTGTTCCTAACCCGCCTCAAAACAGCCACTATTACCCCCACCTTGAAGAAACCTTCCCTTGACCCATCACAGCTATCAGCTCCCGGCCCATCTCCCACCTCCCCTTCCTGTCCAAGGTCCTTGAGAGAGTCGTTGCCTCCCAGCTTCGCTTTCCTCTCCTCCCACTCCCTCCATGAACCCCTCCAATAGGATTTCCGTGCTGCCCACAGCACAGAAACTGCTCTGGTCAAGGTCACAAACGACATCCTGACCATGTGTGACCAGGGCTCCCTCTGCCTCCTCGTCCTCCTCGACCTCTCCGCCGCCTTTGACACCGTGGACCATTCAATCCTCCTCCACCGCCTCTCCTCCCATCTCAACCTTCAAGGCTCTGTCCTTGACTGGCTCAGGTCCTACCTTTCACACCGCCTCCACTTCGTCACGGCAAACAGCAACAGCATCTCCTCCAGCCCCTGCACCTTCTCATGCAGTGTTCCTCAGGACTCTGTCCTCAGTCCCCTCCTCTTCACCCTCTACATGCTCCCTCTTGGTGACATCATCCGCTGACATGGGGTAAATTTCCACATGTATGCGGATGACACCCAACTCTATCTCTCTGCCTCCACCTTCAACTCCAGGACTACTGGCGTCCTGACCGACTGCCTGTCCGACATCAAGTCCTGGACGAGGGCCAACTTCCTCCAACTCAACATCAGCAAGACCGAGGCCCTCCTGATCGGCTCACGCCAGCACCTCCACACCTCGGGCGCTGGCAGCATCAGCCTCCACGGCTGCCACTCAACCTCACAAAAAACATAGTGCTGAGGTGGATGTGAGAAGCCAGCACCCCAACCTTACCGGTCAGTTTACTTTTACCCCACATCTCACTCTTTGACATTTTGTGCCTCCTCTCCTTCCCATGAAATCGATACACTTGCTCAGTGGTTAGAATACTTGGCTCACAACCCTTGAGGGGTCCCTGGTTTGATTCCCAGGCAGGACAAAACTTTGGGTAAGTTTCCTTACTCCACACGCCTCTGTTTACCCAGCAGTAAGTAGGAACCTGGTTGTTAGTCAATTGACTGATTACTCTCTGAGGTAATAATGCTTCTAAAAATAAATACAAAAAAAATTCAATCCAAGACTGTTTGTGGGACACTGCTGTGCAATTGGTGCGCATTACAGTTAATTCACTTTACAATATATCCTGTGAAGCGCTTTGAGACATCTCGAAGATGTGATAAGATGCTATATCAAATGCAAGGACTATTATTATTATTATTATTCGTTATTCGCTTAATACTCAGCATTCCTATTCACTCCCTGGGGAAGTGATAAGCGTGGGTTTGAACCCTCACTGGGTGATGGTAGGTACCAGAAACCCAGCTCAGCATGAAGTGTGTGAGAGAGTTGCCACCATCTTCCTGTCTGCAGCTCGGGCACAAATCCCTTCCCATTGAGCGATGGTTCCACCTGTTGGAGATACGCAGATTAACCTGCATCTGCGAGATTAAACTCTCTGTAGCCAATCGAGGTGATTCCAGGCCTGGATGTATGAATGTGAGTTCACAAACTCAGACTCCAGATAACACGTTCAGCAGCTGTTGCCCCGAGCCTCAGACTTCCTCATCAGCTATCTGGTCTTCAACAACAACAGCAACAACAACTTGCATTTGTATAGTGCCCTTTATACGGGGTATCCTCCTGGAGCGCTTCACAGTGGCAGAGACTGACAACTAGTCAGGGGAGAGGGAGGGGTCAAGGTGAAAGGATTGGGGGAGAGAGTTCAAGAAGGTACGGCCACTGTTGGTGGAGCGGAGGGCACAAGGGACAAACAGGAGGGCAGCCGAGCAGAGGCGGAGTAGGGGGTAAGCAGGTCGGATAGGTAGGGAGGTCCAAAGGAATTAAGTGATTTGAAAACAGCTGAGAGGATCTTGAAATCGATCCGTTCAGTGATTGTGAGCCAGTGGAGTCTGGCCAGGCCTAGTGTGATGGGGGTACTGAGTTTCATGCGGGTGAGTATCTGGGTAGCGGAGTTTTTAATTAATTTAGCATGGCTGGAGGACCCTGACACCCCAGCCTCCCAGTGTGCACAATAGACTAATTCCCTTTTTATTCTTACTTGCTGGTTAAATGATAATCAGTGGAGTACTGTATCTGGTTAGCGCGCTCGCTTCGCAAGCAAGAGACCTGGGTTTGATTCCTGGGCAGAGCGAAATGTTGGGCACGTTTCCTTACATTACGCACCTCTGCTTACCTCCCAGCAGTGAGTAGGAACCCGGTTGTTAGTTGATTGGTGTGTCACTTTTCTGGAGTAATAATTCCTCCAAAAATAATAAAATAATCTGTGAAGAGCTTTGAGACATCTCGAAGATGTGATAAGGTGCTGTATCAAATACAAGGATTATCAGTATGATGGAAACAGTTTGCCTCTTTCTCTGCTGGACTCCCTATGATTGGTTCCAGGGCTCCCAGACCGATGCAATGATGAAGGATTTGATGCAATCACGTTGGATCATCAGGGAATAATTTATTATTTGCGAGGTAAGACTGGAGTCTGTGTGTGTGCATGTGAGATTGTTAGATTGTGTGTGTATGTATGTTAGATTATTAGACATTATAGGATTGTGTGTGAGATTGTTGCGTGTGAGATTGTGTGTGTGTTTGCGTGTGATTGTGAAATGCTCAGAGATGTGTTGATGTTTGAAGCTGTTATCAGATGCTGTGATTTTAGTAAATTGTGCAGAAAGTTTCTTTTGAGGATCTGTGATTGGTGAGCAGTGATTGGTGAGCAGTGATTGGTGAGCTGTGATTGGTGAGCAGTGATTGGTGAGCTGTGATTGGTGAGCTGTGATTGGTGAGCTGTGATTGGTGAGCTGTGATTGGTGAGCAGTGATTGGTGAGCAGTGATTGGTGAGCAGTGATTGGTGAGCAGTGATTGGTGAGCAGTGATTGGTGAGCAGTGATTGGTGAGCTGCGATTGGTGAGCTGCGATTGGTGAGCTGCGATTGGTGAGCTGCGATTGGTGAGCAGTGATTGGTGAGCTGGGATTGGTGAGCTGGGATTGGTGAGCAGCGATTGGTGAGCAGCGATTGGTGAGCAGCGATTGGTGAGCAGCGATTGGTGAGCTGCGATTGGTGAGCTGCGATTGGTGAGCAGCGATTGGTGAGCAGCGATTGGTGAGCAGCGATTGGTGAGCTGCGATTGGTGAGCTGCGATTGGTGAGCTGCGATTGGTGAGCTGCGATTGGTGAGCAGTGAGCTGTGATTGGTGAGCAGTGATTGGTGAGCTGTGATTGGTGAGCACTGAGGTGACGGCAGGCTGTGATTGGTGAGCAGTGATTGGTGAGCTGTGATTGGTGAGCAGTGATTGGTGAGCTGTGATTGGTGAGCAGTGATTGGTGAGCTGTGATTGGTGAGCAGTGATTGGTGAGCAGTGAGCTGTGATTGGTGAGCAGTGATTGGTGAGCTGTGATTGGTGAGCAGTGATTGGTGAGCAGTGAGCTGTGATTGGTGAGCTGTGATTGGTGAGCTGTGATTGGTGAGCAGTGAGCTGTGATTGGTGAGCAGTGATTGGTGAGCAGTGAGCTGTGATTGGTGAGCAGTGATTGGTGAGCTGTGATTGGTGAGCAGTGATTGGTGAGCAGTGAGCTGTGATTGGTGAGCTGTGATTGGTGAGCTGTGATTGGTGAGCTGTGATTGGTGAGCAGTGAGCTGTGATTGGTGAGCAGTGATTGGTGAGCAGTGATTGGTGAGCTGTGATTGGTGAGCTGACCTTCTGGTGTGTGTACCTGGCAGGTGACTACGTGTGGGCAGGTTACCGAAGTCCTGCAACCTTTTTGAACCAGACCTGGC